AATACATTTAAAAGCCGCAATATGAAATACCAATGGCCTGTCCTTCTATGAGACTCCCAATGGACAATGAGAATTTTTACAAGCAGAATAAGGAAAATGCACTGAAGATAGAAAACCACACAGCCACCTGAGACCCAGCACAACCTCCTAAGACCCGCACAGCTCACCTGAGACCCCTCACAACCTCCTAAGACCCTGCACAGCCCACCTGAGACCCTACACAGCCCACCTGAGACCCTGTACAGCCCATCTGAGACCCTGCACCGCCCCCCTTAGACCCTGCACAGCCCACCTCAGACCCTGCACAGCCCACTCATACCAGTGAAAATGCCCCAATACTAAGTGCCAATACTGACCCTTTAAATATTTAAACTGAAGCTGGCACTGTAAACAGGTGCTGCGCTTAAAAGGAAGACTGCAGAGTCCACAGCGAGCCTCCTGACACCCTCCACAGCCCACCTGAGACCGCACACAGCCACCTGAGACTCTGCACAGCCCTCTTAAGACCCTGCACAACGTTCCTGAGACCCGACACAGCCCTCCTGAGACCCGGCACAGCCCTCCTAAGATCCTCCGCTGGAGACATCAGGCCGGCACCCCAGAGCAGCACAGAGTAGTAGCTTCACATGATTCTGCAATGATGTATAATACATTGCTGGGATTTGTAGCCCTTAATAGCTGGTTAAGATTTGGCAATGCTTGATAATGAATTGCTGGGATTTGTAGTCCTCTCTAGCTGATGGTATTATTCTGCATTGCTGTAAGAAATGTACCATCATTTCCTGTTCCGCTGACAAGATTTTACCAGACAGGAAGCAAGGATTTCTTTCTAAAAGCAGCACAAACAGAATTAAAAAAATGAAAATGCTTTTCTTTAGCTTTAGCAGAGCCCAGAAAAGTAGTAAAAACCCAACAGCAGTTCTAATCCCGTTACCTCTATTCAAAACTAGAAAAAAAGGTTTTGGCTTGACATACATGTTAAGAAGTAACTGCATTACTACTACCTTTCTAGTCTGTACTCATTAACCCTGCTGAACCCTACACTAACTAATACAGACCTTTGGCCAGTGTTGCAATCACAATGTAACTAAAATCCCTGCCCAGTCAGATTGTAACCTATACATAAATAGCCCCAGCCAAGCTGAATACGCACTGCTTCTCAGCAGCAAATCTCTCTGCACTTTTTCTATGTCACTATTTGCTCTGAAAACAACCTTTCCTCTACTTTTATAGAAAATACTCCTGAATAAACAGAGCAAGGTCTAAAATTCAGCCTGGCTACAAGGTACCTTATCAGATATGAAACATTTAATAAAATACATAAAACTTAAAATGTGAAATTAACTCAAAATTACAGTTTGGTTTATTAATTTTCCATGAATTAATGAAAAAGCATTAATCAATTAATTAAATGAATTCATTAAATGAAATTAATGAAAAAGCAAACATTTCGGTAATTTATTGGTTCTAATGACATATCTAAATGTCCAGGTGGTATATTGGAGACGAAGGGGCTTATTCATAAAGCTGCCGAGTGAATAACCCAGCCGAAGTGAACAGAGCCTTCTTCAGCCGAACATGCTCTGCATGTTCGGGTGAGCCGAAGTGCAGAGGGACTTCGACTCAGAGGGTGCAGAGGGACTTCAACTCAGCCGATCCAACATCTGGATTGGCTGAGCCAAAGCTCCAGCAGCTCACTCGCTGCCGTTCGCCCCTACTCTCATTAGGGGCCAAACGGCAGTGAGTGAATAGCCGAATGCCACCCAGCGGCATTCAGCTCGGCTATACTGCTTAGTACCTCCAAGGTACTGAGCAGAATAGAAAATAAGTGAAAAGAATGAAAAAAAAATTGAGTGGAGCTAGTGGTGACAGCTAGCTCTGCCCAACTGTTTCTTAGTGGCCGGCACCTGCCAGAATCTTCTAGCAGGTCCCGGCCAATGAACAACAACTGGGCAGGGCTGGCCCCGATGTCACGGTCGGCTCCATTTGTTATTGTTTAATGACAGCGTCCCTAGGTCATTTGGGGACGCTGATCTGTCATTACAACTCGGCGGAGCAAGCCGTGAGATCACGGCAGGCTCTGCCCAGCTGTCATTTACGTGAAGAAGGGTCGGCTTCGGTCAACCGTTCTCCACGCTTCGGATGTCACTAAGGCTCAGCTGAGCCAAAGCATATACATTCTGCTCGCCTGAGTCGCTCGCCAGCCTTCGGCTACTGTACGAGCTATAGGGAATAGACCGTACAGCAGCCCTTCGGTTTGACTGAACCGAAGGGCAGAGGCGGCCGAAGAGAGCCGCAGGATCAGCCAAAGCTACGGCTGGATCCTTTGGCTCTTTAGTGAATAACCCCCTAAATGGTTTTCGGTATTAAAGCTGACGCCATTTACAATAATCTACAAAAGAATATTGCTACCAAATTGCAATTTTGTTTGTTTTAGATTGCACAAGAAAGGCTTAGAACTGCTGCCAGGACTTTATTTCTCCACTGTGTCTCTACTGAGGAGATTGGCCATAACTATTTGTCCTGGTGACCATTGAGAAATAAAGATAAAAAATTGATTTTCTGGCTGTTTCCAGCACAAGAATAGGGAAGATATCTTCTGATATGGTCACCTGTTCCAGTGGCAGATGTAAAAGGTGGGATTTGCCCTCAATCTGGGGAAATTACCATTTGCTTCCTTGGTGTTTCTGACACAAGTAGAAAGGGAGTGAGGCAGAATCTGAGGGCACAGACAGAAATCTGACGTATGCTTTATACTTCCAGCAATCTAAAAAGCTGCATAGCAAAGGTATGTAAAGTAAATATCAAAGAGTTAATATCTGCAACATTTCTTGATAGTTTAAATATGTATTTCCATATGTTATGAACACTTCTTACTCAAATAACTTTTTTTTAGCTCAGGTTACTGTCCAGGTGAAGCTGAAGGGCACGCTATAAAAACAAATGCAGCTATGTATTAAATTTAAAAAATTGTTACGCATCTAATGTAAGTACTTACACTTATCTTGGTATCAGCTTCTTGTAATCCCCTGTACAGTATAACCAGTATAGTGAGGGGCATCACTAGCTCTCAGAGAACATGCTGATAGGATGGGAAAGCAGAGGGAGCAGATATGATTGACTCATGGTCAAATTAGTTGGCTGATGGTGTGTCACAGTGGAGGCTGAAAATTTAGCTATGCTGCCTGGTCTGAATAACAAGACTACAGAATTTTAAGTCTTTGGGTAGGTAAAGCAGACTCCTTACACATCAATCAGTCATAATATGGCCAGCTGCCTAATATTGAGTAGGTCCCCCTTTTGCTGCCAAAACAGCCCTGACCTGTCAAGGCACGGACTCCATTAGACCTCTGAAGGGTTGCTGTGGTATCTGGCACCGAGACTCCAGTAGCAGATCCTTTAAGTCCTTTAAGTGGTGAGGTGCAATTGTATTAAGAACTGGAGAATATGGAGGCTGAGTCAATACCTCAAACTCATTGCTGTGTTCCTCAAAACTATTCTTGAACCATTTTGCAGTGTGACAGGGCACATTATCCTGCAGGGAATACTGTTTCCATGAAGGGGTATTCTTGGTCAGCAACAATGTTAAGATAGGTGGTACATGTCAAAGTAACATCCACATGACTGGCAGGACCCAAGGTTTCCCAGCAGAATATTGCCCAAAGCTTCACACTGCCTCCGCCAGCTTGCCTTCTTCCCATACTGCATCCTGGTGCCATCTCTTCCCCAGGCAAGCGACACAAATGCACACGGCCATCCACATGATATAAAAGAAAACGTGATTCATCAGACCAGGCCACCTTCTTCCATTGCTCTGTGATCTAGTTCTGATGCTCACGTGCCCATTGTGCTTTTGGCAGTGGATAAGGGTCAGCATGGGCACCCTGACCAGTCTGTGGCTACACAGCCCTATGCTCAACACTCTAGGATGGGCTGTATGTTCAGACACCTTTCTATCAGAATCAGCATTAACATTTTTAGCAATTTGAGCTACAGTAGCTCTTCTATTGGATCGGAATACACGGGCCAGCCTTCACTCCCCATGTGTATAAATGAGCCTTTGGCCGACCATGACCCTTTTGGACCACTTTTGGTAGGTCCTGACCAACTACTTCCAGGGGCCATTGTAATGAGATAATCAGTATTATTCACTTCACCTCTCAGTAGTCATAATGTTATGGCGCATTGGTGTATACAGTATATATTGGTTGGGTAAATATGATATAGTGCATATAAATATTTTGTATATTCACTACAAACTAACAGGGGTAACTCTAGGCTCCTTTTTGCATATTCTAAGCTATGTTTAGCTGCTTTGGTAAAAGAAGTGACTCATCCACTATACAAAGTTTCAGTTCGAGAGAATGAGGTGTGCTCTTTCTAACAAATATTCCTTATGCTATGTGAATCCAGTCTCATGGGTACAACATATCTTAAATGTGTATTTGTAGAACATTCCATGTACATAGTAAACAAAAACACAAAACAGCCTTATACAGGTGAAACTCAAATAATTAGAATATCGTGCAAAAGTAATTGCAGTAAGTGCTGCAAAAGGGGCCCAAAGCAAGTACTGAGTACATATGCATGCTTGTACTTTTCAGAGGTCCAATATTGTTCTATGTACAATCCTTGTTTTATTGATTGCATGTAATAATCTACTTTTTTGAGGTTGTGGATTTGGGGTTCTTGGGGTTTTCATGAGCTGTAAGCCATAATCATCACAATTATGACAAATCACGGCTTGAATTATCTTGCTTTGCATGTAATGAGTCTATCTCATATATTAGTTTCACCTTTTAAGTTGCATTAGTGAAATAAATTAACTTTGCACGATATTCTAATTATTCGAGTTTCACCTGTATGTCTTTATGTTTGATTATCTGCCTCTTACACCATTGTATGTGATTTTGTTTCAAGGGCAGAAAAATGCTGCCCTTGAAAGACAGCATAGAGCCTTTAAAACAGACCAGTAAAGATATTAAATACTTACTACTTACATCAAGTTCCACTTTAGATTCAGTAAGCCGATCATGATCAGCACAGTCAATGAGAAACACAATGCCGTTAATGGCAGGGAGGTAGTTTTTCCATACTCTGCGTGCTAAATGAAGACGCAAAATAGTATAATAAGATAAAGTAGCATAACTAGTGGGCTGACAATTTTCTAGTGCTGCTTAGGTAGGTGTCTTCACCTTTTGTGTAAAAAGGAGTAGTATTACATTTGAAAATATCAAAAGTACTTGCTACAGAGCAAAAAAGTTTTCCAATCTACTGGAAAATGTTTTTCTCATTACATATAGAGAACAAATCTTTTACTGTGCATCAGCCATATTAGCATATTAGCCAAGTCAAGGAAAAAAGTCATAAAAGCCCCTGGCTGGGACTGGGAAGGGGGAGTATCATGCTTATGGACAACATTGCCTTGGGTAGCAAAACTACTTTTTCTACCAACCCACTGCTGATAAAAATCAAAATTTCTCTCTTCTTCAATCACATAGACAGAGAACTTCTCTGGAGCTCTCTGGATTTCTTTTTTTTTTTTACTGAAAAAAGAATAGATTGTTTCTTCTAACCCAGTAAAAAATATAAAATGTACATAAATGGCATATTAGCCGCAATGACACCCTACATATCTGAAATGCTGTTTAATGAAATAGCTTACCTTGTGCATGTCCACCTAAATCAAATGTAGTGAACGTCATCCCAGCAATTGTCAATTCTTCTGATGCTAAATAAAATAATAAGTGCACATTATTAGAAAAATGGGCAACTTCACATGACAGAGTAAGGAAATGTGCTAGTAAATTTGAAAACTGATGGGTTGTCTTTTTTTTTACTTTTTATGTCTATAATCTGTAGACAGATATCTATAAAGTATGACTAGATTAACTATTGTAACTGTTGATCTGGAATCTACTGCCACGACTAGCGATGGTCCGCCGGTTCGGTTCTAACATGAGTTCGAATCGAACATCGGCCGTTCGAGCGGTCGCCGAACGCCGAACTTTATGGGATGTTAACGATCTGTTCGACCGCGCAACATCCCATACTGCAAAGAGCCCTCCGAAGCTCTAATTGGTTAAAGACCTGCACCTGACCACAGGTCAGGTGCAAGACTTTGCCCAATCAGGGCTCAGTACTCATTTGGAGCCATGATTGGGCAAAGTCATGATGACTCTGCCAATCATGTTTGGCTTATCAGATGCCGGCAAACTACACAATTGGGCGGAGCTAGCTGTCACCGCTAGCTCCGCCCCATTGTTGATGTTTTGCCGGCATCTGTTAAAATGCCATTAAGCGGCGGGAGTCGGCAGGGAGCCAACGGGACGGCGGCCCGGCGGCCCGGCGAATAAAAAAAGATTATTTCTATTTATTTTGTATTGTTTTTTATTTCGTCGTCATCTTGGACAACGCTGGACCATGGATTACATCGGTGGATCCATTTTTGGGGTTTTTAAAAAAATAAAAGACTTGTCAAAAACATGTCTTTTGTTTTGTTTTTTTTTCAATTAAAGGATTTTATCAAAAGTCTGGACTTTTACATAACTATTTTATTTAACCCTTTATGAATGGGCTCGAGCTGCCGATGTTCGATTCGAACTCATGTTTGAGCCGAACCGGCGGACCATCCCTAGTCGTGGCAGTAGATTCCAGGTACAAGTACCCCATACTAATTCACAAGGGAGGGGGGCGGCATCTGGGTGCCCCCTTAATTGAAGGGGTACCCCAAAGCAAATAAGCCCCCTTGCCCGCAGACCCCCACAACCACCGGGTCAGGGTTGTGGGGAGACAAGGCCCTTGTCCCCATTGGCACAGGGGCACCCTCCCAGTGCTGAGGGCATGTGGACTGGTGTGGGAGGGAGGGGGGGCGCTCACTCGTCCCCCCCCCTTTCCGGCCCTGCCAGGCCTATGCTCAGATTAAGGGTCTGGTATGGAATTTTAGGGGGACTTTAAAGGGAAACCCCACACACTTTTTTTTGTTTGTTTTTTACATGGGGTCCCTCCTCACGATTCCTACCAGACCTTAAGGGCCTGGTATGACTTTGAGGGGAAACCCCACACACTTTTTTTTACATGGGGTTCCTCCTAAATATTCATACCAGACTTTAAGGGCCTGGTATGACTTTGAGGGGGAACCCCACACACTTTCTTTGTTTTTTTTTACTCGGGGTCCCTCCTAACATTCCTACCAGACGTAAAGGGTCTGGTATTGTTTGGGAGGGGGAACTGCACACTTTAAGAGTAAAAAAAAAAAGTAATTTTTTTTTTTTTTTTTTTTTTGTGGTGAGTTAAGGGGACCCCCAAGTCACGATATTTGAAGGAATTTTTCATTTTTATTCTTACCCTTTCAGTGATGTTAAAATCACTGCTCCTTTAAAAACTGTATTTTTTTTGTTTGTTTTTTTAATTGATTCCTGTCCCCCTGTGCACTACCCAGACCCCCATACACCTTTTATGGCCAATAACTTGCATATAAGCACTCTTAAAGGGGACAATCATTTTTGAAAGTTCGACCCCCATTGACTTGCCGAACACGGGGGTGTTCGGCCCATCACTAGCCACGACCAGTGTCTAATTGGTATAGTACATGTTAAACTAATATCATTACCAAAAGAACAGCTTTCCTACCAAGCAAGGATATAGGATTGTCTAGGAATTTTGTAAGATACAGAGGCACATCAAGGCTGAAACGTGTCACAATGCACGAACCCTATCGTGCAGCTGGAAAAGGACAAATGGAACTACATACAACTGTTGCACAAGGGTAAAGTACTCAAGGTGCAAGGCATGCTGTGGAACATCCAAGACAGGTATTATTTAGAACTTGCTTCACCTCATGGGCACTGGTATAGTACAAGTGTTTGTGGGTTTGTGTTGTCTGTTGGTGGAGAAGCCTAAATAAGTCCTGGCCTTGGTGCTGCTGGATTAGCTCCCTATTCCAATAATTTTGCTACTGATGATGATACATTAAGCGGGTAGTCATAGGTTACAACACACTAGATGGTTAGATTTAAAAGAACATCTAAAATTGTTTGCAAACAGTTTAACAATATTTAATAACATTATTATTATTATTATTATTATCATATAGTGCCAACAGCTTGCACAGCAGGCAATATAAGGAAGCTATTACTGATACAATTCAAGACAAGATGGATAGGAGGGCCCTGCCCATGAGAGCTTACTATCTAAAATATATTGTTTTAACCTTGCGCTCCTCCACCTTCCATTTGAGGATGCCCCACAGATGCTATGTGGGGCATCTCAGCTTCTTTAGCAAGGCGGTGGTCGTCTTGGAGGTGTGTTCGGGGTCGTTATCATGTTGGAATACTGCCCTGCGGCCCAGTCTCCGAAGGGAGGGGATCATGCTCTGCTTCAGTATGTCACAGTACATGTTGACATTTATGGTTCCCTCATTGAACTGTAGCTGCCCAGTGCCGGCAGCACTCATGCAGCCCCAGACCATGACACTCCCACCACCATGCTTGACTGTAGGCAAGACACACTTGTCTTTGTACTCCTCACCTGGTTGCTGCCACATACGCTTGACACCATCTGAACCAAATAAGTTTATCTTGGTCTTATCAGACCACAGGACATGGTTCCAGTAACCCATGTCCGTAGTCTGCTTGTCTTCAGCAAACCGTTTGCGGGCTTTCTTGTGCATCATCTTTAGAAGAGGCTTCCGTCTGGGACCATAGCCATGCAGACCAAATTGATGCAGTGTGCGGCGTATGGTCTGAGCACTGACAGGCTGACCCCCCACCCCTTCAACCTCTGCAGCAATGCTGGCAGTACTCAAACGTCTATTTCCCAAAGACAACCTCTGGATATGACGCTGAGTACATGCACTCAACTTCTTTGGTCGACCATGGCGAGGCCTGTTCTGAGTGGAACCTGTCCTGTTAAACCGCTGTATGGTCTTGGCCACCGTGCTGCAGTTCAGTTTCAGGGTCTTGGCAATCTTCTTATAGCCTAGGCCATCTTTATGTAGAGCAACAATTCTTTTTTTCAGATCCTCAGAGAGTTCTTTGCCATGAGGTGCCATGTTGAACTTCCAGTGAGCAGTATGAAAATTACACACCAAATTTAACACACCTGCTCCCCATTCACACCTGAGACCTTGTAACACTAACGAGTCACATGATACCGGGGAGGGAAAATGGCTAATTGGGCCCAATTTGGACATTTTCACTTAGGGATGCACTCATTTTTGTTGCCAGCTGTTTAAACATTAATGGCTGTGTGTTGAGTTATTTTGAGGGGACAGCAAATGTACACTGATATATAAGCTGTACTATCACTGCTTTACATTGTAGCAAAGTGTCACATAAATTTCTTTTGTGTCGTCACATGAAATTATATACTAAAATATTTACAAAAA